TGATGAGCTATCCATTTGTTTCTGTGGGACCTGGATTTAGACCTTAGTGATGAAACACTTTGTTTTGACTTTATTTTTTTTTTTTGAAAGAGGATACTAGAGACTCATCCCTCTCTTTCTGTCATGAGATCTGAGAAATGTCACAATTTCTTGTATTGCATTCAGATTGAACAACCTAGTTTAGGCCCTTCTGAAGAGTTTTTGTGGTCCTAAAAGGACCGTGTCCTACAGTTTATCGCAATCCAACGCTGTTGTAATTTGTTAGGAAGTCTATGAAGGCTTATGTAGCCTAGGAGTAATAACAGTAATGACTATGGTCTTGTTTTGTGCCCAGAGAGAGGGGCAGCAAAGAAGTATGTTCAGGAGAGAACACCATTCAGCTCAGCTTTCTGTTGGACATCACTTAAAAAGCAAGTACCTCTGATGCGTGGCTAAAGCAAGGGGTACAAACTTGTAATCTACCAGCACATCGTGGGCTGTGTCATGGCTCAGACTGACACCGACAGCAGATCTCCCGGTAGACGCGTGCTCATACGCAGGCACACAAAGAACGGAGGGCAGAAAGAAACCAGCACATAGGAGAGTTGATATGCCAGAAAGAAAATGCCCAGATACTGAGCCACTATGACCTTTTTATTTGAAGACATGTTTTGATAAAATGTTTGTAAATGTGTTGGGAGGGAAAACACCCCAAGTCTGATGCATCTTTTTAGACCTCGTCCATACAAAACCGTAGATGTCTTTTATATGAATTAACGCCATGAAAAGATCTTTGTTTTGATGAAGCACTTGACCCAATGAAACGCAAAGATGTTTTGCCATACACGCAATGGATGAAGGCTCTGCTAGCTGGAAAAGGCCGAGTTTTGTGGGGGTTTCTTCAGTTTTCTTTTTAGAGTCATTCCCTTTGCTGACTTTTGAAGTTCCAGTCCAGTAGTTAACCTAGTGAAGCTCAGCACGTCTCTCACGTTAATGTAATGTTTAGACTGCACGTCCTGTTCCCAAGGGCCTTGTCATCTTACCTGTGCAGGTGGTGTTAAGAGCTATTGTATCGAATGTTTGCTAATTTTCTTGGAGACGAGCGTTCTAACCTGCACTTTGAGGGCTTTGCTTTTTTATTTTTGTCTTTTTAATGGCCAGGATTATTTTGTTTTCCAAGTTTTAAAAACCTTAATAGAGTCCTCAGCTATGGCATTGTTTGAAACTTTGTATATCTTTTAAGTAATTTAACTACCCCTCATTACTAAGGAAAAAAGAGGAAAAAATGCTTTATAAAGTTCATAACTTATTGCTGATCTGAATGGGTTGTTAATTTCAGTCCTGTAGATTTTATTTTATTGTTTTAGGTAAGGTTGGGCAAAAAGAGGTTTAAAAAAAAAAAAAGAGAGACAACCATATTTAGCAGTGCAGTGGAATTGTGTTTAAATGTTAGCCGATGGTTCCCCATTAAAAGTAGCACTTTAACGCCATTAAACATTTCTGTATCTGAAATGAGTTGTGTTCTTCCATCTTGGTCATTCGTATCACTCTAGCCGACGCTTGTTCTTCTTGTGCCTGGAAAAATGTGTTGCACTTGGATCCTGTGATGAGAAGATCCTGAATGATTCTGGTGTGGAGTTTTGCACTGTGATAAGTTAACTATGTTTAAGTATTCTGATGTTACTGAATCTCCCTCCCCACACTGTCCTCCAAAATGTGTCTTTCCCCATGAAAGACAACAGATAACCATGGAGTAGAGGAATAATGTTTCCATGGTTGTGATGAACTATTTCTGTTTTTCGTTTTGTTTGTTTTTAATTTGTTTCTTAAGCTTGGATCAGGTTGCCGCTGTTTTCACTTGTGCGTATGTAATACAGTGGTTCAGTACATCTCTTCTCCTCCCTTCTGGGAGGTGACCTAGCAGGAACAGGAGCCTGCCGCAGACTGTCCGCGGTTTGCCTTACTCAACCACTAGGGCCTGAGGGTTTTGGAGGAAGAAATGCCCTGGGTTTGATCTTTTCTAGCAAGGAGGGAGCTCGTATGTGTGGAGCTGTAGCTTGCTGCGCACATTGTCAGTGACTGCTGCCCTGAGTAAGAAGTGCCCTGGCTAAGGGATGAGCGCTGGTAGCATGACTGTCTCCATAGCTACCAGCTTTGTTAGTTCAAGGGTTTTAAGCTGCTTGGATTTATTTTTTTTTTGGGTCCAATCTGGATGACTCAGGCTTGGGAGGTCTTCTACTGCAGCAGTGAAATATGGAACACTTTACCTCTAGCAAGGTCTGACTGACTTACTGTTGTTGTTCTCCTCGAAAGTGTTGACCACTGGCAGCCCTGGTGCTGAGCAGTTGAATACCAGTGGGACTTTTTTGTTTTCTTCTTTCCCCCTGCTCTTCTGCAGCTGTCCCAGCACTGCCTCTTTCCTGTCATTCCTGTCTGTTTTAAATGGCCTCTTGAGAAAGAAATAACACAACTGTGAAATACTTAGATTCGTGGAGTGGGGAATGGCTCTGTTCTCCTGGTTGGTATGTAAATCATGTGTATGTGGTTGGAATAAATGTGTCTGAAAGGAGTCTAGGAGTCCAAAATGCAATCATTTTTATGCTCCAAGACCAGTTTGAGATCTTCTACCTTTTCTAAGATAAGGAACTTGAAGGTTCTGGAAACATCAAGTCCAGATACTAGAGGAAGCTGTTGCAGGGAGAGAGATGAGCTTCCACGATAAGCCACTTCCCTACTGGAGCACTGATGCTAGTGGGGCGGTAAGGCAAGAGGACTAGAATTAAAACAAATTTAATTAAGAGCCTTTGTAATAAATCTTAAAGAGAAAAGAGTGGTTGGTCTGGCGCTGGGGGGTTTCTTTGTGGTTTCTTGTATGATGGAAGCCCTTCTCCAGCTTTTTGAGGTTGTTCTACACTGCTTTATTACTACATTGTATTCTCTGACCTTTCCGATCAGCTCACACCTCCGCGCAGTCTGAAATGCTAGTCACGTTTCCATTTGTTAGTCTAGACTGTTGCACTGGAATGGTCAAGATGACTAATTGGCTCCAAGAAGTCGCTTTAAATTGTGCTTAGATGAAAGTACAGGCCAATTAGTTAGGGTTATGCAGAACATCAGTTAGATGATCATAATAGTTCCTTCTGGTTAAAAATGTATGAATCTTGTGAATTGTCCCCATTGTGACAAGCCAGAACAGTCCTATGTACCAGATCTGCTTTAAGAATCGCATCAGCTTTCAAAGTTGCATCAAAGTTTTTGCTAGCCTCTCTGAAATTTTGCAGAACAGAATGAGCCTCCAAAGATGCAAATCTTAAACCCTTAAGGGCCAAGTCTCGTTTATCCTTTGGAAGCTGAGATGGTCCCTCGTGCTCTGTAACTCAAAAGAAGCAGTAAAGCAAGTCAAATTTACTCTTTCGTTTCGTGGAACTGAAAAGCGCTCACAGAAGCTTTCTCTCTCCCTCCTATGTCTTGCTCTGATGCTACTCTGGGAAAGAAGTAACTTTTCCAGTAGTAATGGAAGTCTTTTTCATTGTTAACTGGGAGTGTTGTCTACACGTGTTTAGTTTTACCCAGAGGGGAAACCTTTAGATGGGCATGTAAAGAACATAAACTGAACACATTGGGAATCTTGGCATACACATATGGGCCACCACTGGGTGAGGATCTAATAAGAAGACACAACCTGGGTCAGAGGCGTATACCTGGATACCAGCACACCTTGTTCCTTTATCTTGTTCCACCTCCCCATCCTTCTGCCTCTCTTTAGGGGGGTTAAAAGTGGAAGATGTTCCAAAAATATTGTGTGCATTTATAAGAACAAGAGAGCAATGTAGAGAATGATTGCATAGTTTTTATGGATTCGTTGAGCCTGTAGGTATAGTCTAAGGCAGAAGGCTAGAGAGAATCCATGCTTGTATGAGTTTCCATAACCCAAAATTTAGGATTATTTTGTCTCAGTGTTGTCCGAAGAAGATAAAATAAAAACCAATTCTGAAGGCGATTTATAATGTTGGGGGGTTGTTTTTTGTTTGTTTTTTAAATCCACTCTGAAAGATACTGGAAGAATGTTGCTGTTTAGTGCCTGACTCTGGAAATTTTTTAATATGCAGCTCATTGAGTTGAGATCAAGCCTAGATTTCCGTGCTAGTCACGGTAGCCTGAAAAATGTCAGGGTGTACTGGGCAAGTGTAGTTTCATGATAAGGCCTAGGTCCTTACCTCATCAGAGCATCTCACAGAGACAGCTTTGAATTTGCTGAAGAACCTTCTCTTTTGCACCCGTGTGGCCCAGGCTGTGTGCCTGTGGGCAGGGATGTGTTTTGGAGGGGACACACATTTCAGCATTGCCCCTGGAACTGGGAAAAGCAGGAAGTCCTGACGGGCAGCTTAGTTTCAGAGACTGAAAGCTTACCTAGCTCATGAGAGGTTGGAGACCAGCCCTTGCTACATCTGATTATTCAGCCGGAAAGCCCTTTCTGCTGCCATAAGTCCAATGAAAGTGCAGCTTTGAGCAGATGGCTGTTACCTTGGGGATGTTCTCCTGTGGTGCCCTTCAAGGTACCCTGCAATCCCTGTGAAGGAACTGTGCAGGGCATTTGTGCTGCTGCAGCCTCGTTCCACTCTTCTGCAACTGAAACAGTTCCCTTTTGTCTTCTCTGCTGTGGCCTTAAATGTGTGCCCCATGAGATCAGCTCTAATTTCATCTAGAATAACGTTTGTTCTCACCGTGTGGTAATTTGAGCTTGGAACCACTTTTTTGGTTTTTCTTTGCAAAATAGTGAGTGAGATGTGATTTTTTTTTTTTTTTTTCCCCTCTCCCCCCTTCCCAGGTTTGCTTTGTGCACGCTATTATTTTTGCGGTTTATTTTTGTGTTTGTAGCATAACAAAAGCCCTAAATCTATCTTCTGCTTAATTTTACAAGAATGCGGTGACTTTTCTTGTAAATAGAATCTGATGTTCTTCCTTTAGGCAGTTTGG